CAGGTACTTCACTTTTTTTGTTATTTCTAAGCCTGTTTCCCTCTGAAATTTCTCTTTTTCTGCGATTGTTAAATTTTTCTCCAACACCTTAGTTTTCTGCTTATTCAATTTAAATCCTGCTACTTGACCAAATGTCTCAATTAGTTCTAGTACTCTTTTAGTACTAGTATCTGGCTGTTGCAAAGTCAGTACAAGGTCATCTGCAAATGCCCTTAGTTTGTAGTTTCTCGCTCCGACCTGAACTCCTTTAACCAATTGGTCCCCTCTAATCATGTTTAACAAAACCTCCAGGACTGTTATAAAAAGTAAAGGGGATATTGGGCACCCCTGTCGTGTGCCCTTTTCTATAGGTATTTCTTCCGTAACCACATTGTTCACAATCAGCTTTGCTTTTTGCTTAGAATATATAGCACCTATACCGTTTTCAAAACCTTGGCCTACCCCCATCCCTTGGAGATTCTTCTTCATAAAGGTCCAACAGATATTATCAAAGGCTTTCTCCGCGTCCACAAAAATCAAAACCGCCTTTCTATTAATGTTCACTTCCAATAATTCCAAAATGTCTATAATGTTCCTCACATTGTCCGACATATATCTCCCTGGGAGAAAGCCTGTTTGGTCCTTATGAATCTCCCCTATCAACACTCTTTTCAGTCTTTTTGCTAAAATGTCTGCAAAAATTTTGTAATCCACATTTAATAGTGAAATTGGGCGGTAGTTTTTAACCTGGTTCTTTTCAGTCTCTGTTTTCGGTATGAGTGAAATAAAAGCTTCTTTCCACGATTCAGGTGCCTTTTTCCCTTCTAAAATTTCATTACAAACCTCCTTCAGTGGTTGTATTATCCATTCCTTCAATGCCTTGTAGTATCTAGCCGTTAGGCCATCTGGTCCTGGAGATTTTCCCAACTGCATATTCTGAATGGCGCCCTCTATTTCTTGTCCTGTTATTTTCTCATTCAGAATCATTCTACTTTGATCTGAGATCTTTGGTAGTCCATACTTCTTAATAAATTCTTCTATTTCCTGCACATCAACAGGCCCTTGTGCATATAATTTCCTGAAGAAACTTTGAAAGCAATTACTTATCTCATTTGGTTTGTGGATGATTTTTCCATCCATTTCCAAACTTGTCACTGTGTTCAGTTTTTGTCTCTTTTTCAATTGCCATGACAGAAGTTTCCCACATTTATCTGCCGATTCAAATGTTCTTTGTCTCATTTGCTTTATTTTCCATTCTATCTCTTGATTCATCAATTCCATATATTGTGTCTGATGGTACTTTATTTCTCTCAGAATCTCATGAGACTTTGGTTTAGACCTCAGTTTCTTTTCACCTTCTTTTATTTTTTCCAAGATTTTTTCTTTCCTCTCATTTTGCTTTTTCCTCTTTATGGAATTTTGTTGTATTAGGAAACCTCGCATCACGGCCTTGCTTGCGTCCCATATTATTCTTTTCTCCACATCTGTTCTCAAATTTATCTCGAAGTAGTCTTTCAAAGCTTTTTGGGCCTTCTTATAAATCTCCTCATCTCTGAATAGGGCATCATTCATCCTCCATCTGAAAGTTCCAATTGTTGTTAATTTCATCTCCATCTTCACAGCATTATGGTCGGAGCAAGTCTTTGGGCAGATTTCTACTTTTTTGACCTTTGGTGCCATGCTGCTAGTTACCCAGATTTGGTCAATCCGTGTCCATGTCATTTTTGCTTCAGAGAAAAAAGTTCCCTCTCTCTCCAGAGGATTCCTTACTCTCCAAATGTCAATCAAGTCCAGTGTTTCCGTCATTTCAAAAAAGGTCTTTGGTAGTCTTCCGTCTTTAGAAATTATTTGTTTCTGTGCCTTGTCCATATTAGTGGAGACAACACCATTCATGTCCCCCATCATTATAATTTTAAAGTCCATATAATCCATTAAAGTCTCATGCAACTTCTTGAAAAATTCCGCCTTCCCTTCATTTGGTGCATATATTCCCAATATCATAATTTTTTCTCCTTGGATTTGTATTTCTATTGCCAAATATCTTCCTTGTTCATCTTTAAATATCATTTTAGGGGCCAATTTTTCTTTTGCATAGATCACGACGCCTCTTTTTTTGACCTTGTCTGATGAAATAAATTCTTGTCCTAGTCTCTTGTTTACAAGTAATTTCCTGTGTATTCTGGTCACGTGCGTTTCCTGTAGACATATCAAATCCAATTGCTCTCTCTTCAAGATGTGAAAAACTTGGCGTCTTTTTCTGGGAAGGTTAAGACCGTTACAATTCCAGCTAAGAAGTTGCAGAGACATTGTGTTGCTATGTGCCTATTCCTCCAACTGCTCCAAGTTTTTGTTCTTCCTCTGACGGTGGTAATCCAAATGAAAGATTTGCAATATCTGTCGGTTCTTTGTCTCCTGTTGTTTCTATCACTCCTTTCTGGAGGCCCTCCTGGTATCTTTCCAAAAACAGTTCTTTATCTTGAACTGTTTTTATTTTGATCTTCTTTCCTGTGTAGTTAAAAGACAATCCTTGTGGGAATTCCCACCTGAAAAGTATGTTGTTCTTCTTCAGCAGGTAAACCAAATCTTTGTAAAAGGCCCTCACCTCCAAGATATATTTGGGGATGTCTTTAAAGATCTGAACTTGACAATTCTGTATTTCCAAAGCCTTATGATAATGTAAGTCCAGTATTTTGTCCCTTTCTTCTTTAGATCTCAATGTAATCAGACAGTCCCTAGGCTTTTTGCCTTGTCTTCTGCCCAACCGGAAGGCCGTTGTTATTTCGAATTCTTCCTCCTCCAGCTCGTCCTGCCAAAATTCCGAAATTTTTTCTGTGAGAAATTCCACTAGATTGTCCTTCTCGTCCTCTGGTACCAACCTTAATTTTAGGTTCTTCTCTTTTCTCTGAAGTTCCCACAAAGCTAAAGTTGCATCATGTTCATTCACCTTTTTTGCAATCGGTGCAAGCTCCCTCTTTGTCTCATCTGCAATACCTTTTGCGCTTTGGGCAATTTTCCTTGTTTCAGAATTTTCCTGGATCAATTTATTTATAGATTCTGTATTAGAAGCTATACTTGCCGTGTTCAAGTCCAATCTTGTTGTCAAATCATTCAGTTTTTTTGTGTTCTCCGCTGACTGCTTTGTCAATGCTTCCAAAGACTGGTTTATTTTCAGCAATGCCTGTGTCATTGACTCCATAGATGCAGCTGGTACTTTTTCCTGTCCAGCTGGTGTTATGCCTTGCATCGAACCCCTTTTCTTTTGTGCTTGCTGGATTTGTTTCGCTTTTGCTCTGGTTGTTATCTCTTCTGGTTGGCCACTCATATCCTCAAGGTCAGTTCTCACAGGAAAAGTTTACCAGTGGAAAAACCCACTCTTTTCTCTTACTGTAATAAGTTTTCCTAAAGTCCTCTAGAGGGAGCATTTAATTGTATCCAGTTAAGGAAAGAGAAAGTCAGAAAAACATAAGGCAGGAAACAAAGAGTCCAAAGGTCCACAGTTAAAGTTCTTGTTACAGTTTCAATGTCCTCAAAAGTTCAAACAAAGTAACTCCATTAAAGTCTCCTAACTTTGTTTCAGCCAAAACCCTAACTTTGTATCCAGTTTGAATTGACAGCTCACTTTCCTGGTGCCTTGCTTCGGCAGCCCGTCTCAGGGTTTTAACAGCGGAAGATCTTTTCCCTCTATTTATTTCCCACAGGTTTATAATGTCCAAATTTCCTTCCCCCCCTCTCCTGCTCGTTGGGGGGAAGTTTAATTCAGATGTCTGGTTTTGACAGTTAAGAAGTTAGCCTTCATTTAAATGCAGCTTGCTCTTTCGTTGCTCTAGTTAGCATGCAGTCCGGGGAGGCAGACTTCCTTATTTAATGCCTTTCCCGTTTTCAGCCGAATTTCTTATAATCAGTTTAAATGTCCCGTTCCCGTCTGTCAATCTTACTCACGGGTTTTATATTCCAATTGTAGTTTCAGGAAGGAATCGGCGCTCTCCGCTCAATGGCGACGCGGCTTCACTCCGCAGGCTGGGTTGCGACTCTCAGCACCGCGCTCACTCCCGATGCCGCTCCGGAGCCTTTAAAAAGGCTCTTTTGCAGTACCGGGGGGCGCGAAAGGTGCCCACCGAGTCTCCTTGCTCACAGGCTTCAGCGCCTGTGATTTTAGGGGTCCCCCGCTCGCCGTAGCGGGTCAGACCCGAACTCGCGGAGCAGTCCTGCCTCAGAGCTCGAGGCAAGGACCGCCATTAAGCGGGAATGGCGCAGTAGGGTTCGAGACTCAGGAAGGCAAAAATCAAAGTCCCCCATTCGATCAGGGTTGGACCTTCCCCCTGTCTCGACCTCGTGATAGTCCAGGAAGTGATAGTCCGTTTGCAATCCTGTGCAGTGGTCCGATGAGGTAGTCGTGACTCTGGATAAGGCGGCAAGAAGGAGGGCGGCACAAGCAAGATCCATGGGCTGAATGCGCATAAGGGGCAGGTTGTCAAACTTAAGCGGAGGTGTCAAGCGGAGCTGTCAGATGAACTGTCAGATGAGCTGTCAAATGAAGCGGTGGAGCTGTCAGATGAGCTGTCAGATGAGCTGTCAAATGAAGCGGCGGAGCTGTCAGATGAGCTGTCAGATGAGCTGTCAAATGAAGCGGCGGAGCTGTCAGATGAGCTGTCAGATGAGCTGTTAAATGAAACGGCGGAGCTGTGAGGTGAGCTGTCAGATGAGCTGTCAAATGAAGCGGCAGAGCTGTCAGATGAGCTGTCAGACGAGCTGTCAAATGAAGCGGCGGAGCTGTCAGATGAGCTGTCAGATGAGCTGTCAAATGAAGCGGCGGGGCTGTCAGATGAGCTGTTAAATGAAGCGGCGGAGCTGTGAGGTGAGCTGTCAGATGAGCTGTCAAATGAAGCGGCGGAGCTGTCAGATGGAGCTGTCACAGCGTTTGAGACGTAGCTTGAGGGCGTCGGTGTCTGGGACGATCTCGGATGTCCAGTTGGATGTCGCGGTGTCCTGTCCGGTCTGTTGAGCCCGACCTCGGCCCCGATCTACTGGTCCGGTCTGTTGAGCCCGACCTTGGCCCCGGTCTGTTGAGCCTGACCTTGGCCCCGATCTACTGGTCCGGTCTGTTGAGCCCGACCTTGGCTCCGATCCACTGGTCCGGTCTCTTGAGCCCGACCTTGGCTCCGATCCACTGGTCCGGTCTGTTCCTCGTCGTCGTCGATGTACGAGGTTGGAGGTGTGGGAGGGGTCGAAAAGGTGAAGTCCTCGCCGGGGTTTTCTTCCGTCTCTTGAGGGGGTGGCACGGACTTACACCTCGTGTGGTGGATCCACGAATTCTTCTCCCCTACCTTTACGGCGGTCGGTGATGTTAGGAGGATTTGGTAGGGGCCCTCCCAGGCGGGTTGAAGAGGTTCCTTTTGATAGACCTTGGTGAGGATCCAGTCGCCGGGATCGAAGGAGTGGGCTTGCACGTCAATGGGCAGGTTCTGTCCTTCGATGGCCGCGTACTGGTGGAGGCGCTGTAGCTGCGTCTGGAGCTGAACGACATAGTTAGTAAGTTCTGCTTCCCCCAGTTCGAGCTCCGAAAGGGGAAATAGAGTATTGTAGACGGGAGGGGGCCTCCCAAATAGGAGTTCGTACGGAGACAGTTTTAAGGGCCCTGTAGGGGCACTTCGTATATTGTGGAGAACCAATGGGAGTGCATTTACCCACTTTAGTCCAGCCAGTCTGTAAAGTTTTCCAAGTTGGATTTTAATTTCCTGGTTCATGCGCTCTACTTGGCCAGACGACTGTGGGTGATAGGGTGTATGAAGATCCCATTTTATTTGTAGTGCCTTTGCGACTAGTTGTACTATTTGAGCCGTGAAATGGGTTCCTCTGTCACTGTCTAGGCGGCGGGGAACCCCAAACCGGGGAATGATGTCTTGTAGGAGTGCTCTGGCTACTACCGAAGCGGTTGGTTTCCTACAGGGAAATCCTTCTACCCAGGAGGAGAGTTTATCTATTATGATGAGGGCGTGTTTGAAACCTTGGCAGGGCGGCAGATCAATAAAGTCCAGCTGTAGGCTTTCGAAGGGGACGAATGCCCATAGTCTGGCCCCTGGGGGTGCTCTGGGTTGTCGTTTGGGATTATAGGAGCTGCAGGTTATACAGTTTTTTGATGCTGTTGTGGCCGCGATTGCCAAGCCTGGTGCGTACCAAGATCTCTTCACATGTTCTATCAGTCTCCCTTTTCCCCAATGCGTTTGTTGGTGGAGAACCCTCACCAATTTTGAAACCCATGTTTTCGGGAGGACGAGTCTACCATCGGGGAGGACCCAAACGTCATTTTGTTCGACTGCACCTACAGAACGCCAGAGAGTCTTTTCTTCTTCGGGGGCTTCCTTGTAAATCTGTGTGGGATCTATGTTAAGTGGGACTTGTAGGGCTTGAAACTCAGATTCTTGGTTGGGGGGGCGGAGGGCGGCAGCCTGAGCCGCGTTATCGGCCCGTCTGTTGCCTCTTGAGACAGGGTCTATGCCCCGGGTATGTGCTTTACAGTGAACAACCGCGATCGCAGTGGGCATGTGGATAGCGGTCAGTAGTCTCTCCACTAGGGCGGCGTGCGAAATTTTGGAGCCTGCCGCTGTTAAGAAACCCCTTTGTAGCCAAATCTGACCAGTGGTGTGCACTAACCCGAAACAGTATTTGCTATCCGTGTAGATGGTAGCCCGCTTGCCTTCACTGAGTTCACAGGCGCGTATGAGTGCTATTAATTCTGCCGCTTGGGCGCTATATTGTGGGTTGATCGGGTTGGATTCTAAGACTTCAAAGTCGGTAGCCACGGCATATCCTGTTTTCCTCTCCCCTTCTATAACCCTGGAGCTGCCGTCTGTGTAGAGTACAAGGTCTGGGTTTTCCAAGGGTATGTGATCTAGGTCTTCCCTGGGTTTCTCGGCTTGACGGACTATTGTGGCACAGTCATGGTGTGGGGTCCCATCATCGGGGAGAGGTAGAAGGGTAGCTGGGTTAAGGGAGTTGACTCTTTTTATGGTGACATTTGATGGGGTTAGGAGAAGGGCCTCATACTTGTTTAGTCGGGAGTTAGAAAAATGATGACAGCCTCGCAGAGTTAGGAGGGTGGAGACAGAGTGGGGAACATGAACAATGATTTCATGCCCCAAGACCGTCTCTTGAGCCTTTTCGAGGAGGGTCGCTGCAGCGGCTATAGCCCGCAGGCAGCCCACTGCCCCCTTTGCAGTATTGTCCAATTGTAGGCTATAGTATGCCACGGGTCTCTCTTTATCTCGGAAAGGTTGAGTCAGTACCCCTGAGGCTACCCCCATTTGTTCATGGATGAACAAGTTGAAGGGGATTCGGTAGTCGGGTAAGCCTAGTGCAGGGGCCGACCTCAGTTCCCGCTTCAACCGTTCAAAAGATTTGTATGCTTCTTCTTCCCAAATTAGGGTGTCAGGGTGATCTTGGCGGGTCATGGCGGACAGCGGTTTCGTTATTTCGCTGTAGCCCGCGATCCAGGCTCTGCAGAAGCCTGCCATTCCTAAAAATCCTCGTAGTTGTCGTTTGGTTTTGGGAAGGGGAATTTTAGTGACGGCTTCTATCCTATCTGTTGCTAAGCTTCGGGTGCCCACTCCAAGGATGTGCCCGAGGTACTTTACTTCCTGCTTGCAGTATTGCAGCTTTTTTGGTGACACCTTGTGCCCCTTTCTGGCTAGTTCGGCAAGGAGATGTTTGGTGTCTGTTTTACACGCTTCCTCGCTAGTAGAACAAAGGAGCAGGTCATCTACGTAAAGAAGGAGGGCAGAACCAGCTGGGAGGTGTATATCTTGCAAATCTTGGTGTAGGATTGCCGAAAAGATTGCAGGTGACTCCACGTACCCCTGGGGCAACCTTGTCCAGGTTAATTGACTGGGTCCCCATGTGAAGGCGAAGAGGAATTGGCTAGCTGGGTCTAATGGTATACTAAAGAAAGCGGAGCACAGATCTGCAGCGGTATACCACTGGGTTCCTGCAGGTATGGCATTTAGGAGGGAGTTCGGGTTGCCCACTACTGGGTGACGGGGTATGACAAATTGATTTACTAGTCTCAAGTCCTGAACGAAGCGGTAGCGGACTGGGGCTCCCTCAGCGGACGGTTTCTTTACTGGTAGTACTGGTGTATTGCATGGGGATGCACAAGGAACCAAGATCCCCTTTTTGAGAAAGTCTTCTATCATCGGGGTTAATCCCTCAATGGCTTCCTTGGGTAAGGGGTATTGCTTAGTACACGGAAAGGGTAGGTCAGTCCTATAGGTGATTTTTACTGGGGTAGCCGATAGGAGGAGACCCACTGAGGTTGACTCGGTGCCCCATAGAGAAGGGGGTAGATCGTTCTCTAGCTCGGGAGGGAGTTCGGGGAACTGTCTATCTGTCTTTACTTCCTCCATCATTCCTTGGAATGCGGGGATGGAATTTTCCGGCATGTATAGATAGATGCCTTCCTGAGAACATTTAATTGTTGCGTTCAATTTACAGAGTAAGTCTCTTCCGAGGAGATTTACTGGGCTACTGGTTAAGAGAAAGGTATGTTCGGCGAGTAGGGGTCCCAGGGTAACCTTAGTTGGACGTGATAGAGGACAAGTGCGGGGTATCCCATCCAGACCCATAACTTTTTTTGTTTCCGGTCCTGGTTCCAGGTGACTATCGGTTAAAGTGGAGTATGTGGCCCCGGTGTCCAATAGGCATTGATAGGGATGGCCATCTATCTCTATAGTGCAAAAGGGGTCTTCGGAGGATAACGTTAGGACTGGACAGATGGTTTGGGTTTGGTCGGGATCCCCTTTTGATTGTCAATAAGTTTGTTGGTCGTCCGGGGGGGGTTGGTTAGGGGGGTGTAGAGGCGGAGCAGAGGCGTTTATCCAAGGGTGGGTGGATGGAGTTATTGTCGGCATTTGGGTCCTCGGTCCCGGCGGAGGCGCTGGCGCTGGAGTTTTAGTAGGGGCATTTGGAAGCGGTGGATTGTAAGGTGCCGGGGGTACTTGAGGGTCGTAGGTCATAGGAGGCTGGTTTCGGTACCCATAGGTCGGGTTGTGGTGTACTCCGTGATTCATATTATTGAGGTAGGGACAGAATCTTTTTATGTGTCCTTCCTCTTGACAATAAAAGCACCCTCCTGCAGCTGGTCCCCAAGGTCTATGAGGATTCGGAGGTCCTCCTCCCCGGGCTCCCCTTCCTCGACTGAAACCTCTGCCCCTGCCGTAATTTGGTTCCATGCTGAGGGCCAGGATTTGTTCCGTTTCGGGCTTGGGGTCTCTTTTCTTCCTCTCGTCTCGGGAGTTATAGACGGATTTTGCGATGGAGAGAATTTCGCTAATGCTCTTTCCATCATACCCTATTTGTAGGTTTAGGGCTTTTCTAATATCAGGGCAAGCTTGGTCCTTGAAGAAGCCCTTCACAATGACCTCGTGTTGAGAATTATTTGGGTCGATCCCTCCCCAGGTCTTAATGGCTGATACTAGCCTGGTGTAGTAGTCAGATGGGTGTTCATTGGCCCCTTGTAACACAGTTTGGACTTTCGTCCAGTTAACTGTACGCTGGCCAGCAGCCTTAATGGCGTCCAAGATTGCCTTTTTAAACAAATCTAAGCACCAAATTCCGTTTGTGGTATTATAGTCCCAGGTTGGTTCGGTGCGTAGGCATTGGGCTGTGAGTGCCTCCACGCCTTGTGGGCGTCCTGTCTGGTAATTCGGGAGTTCGATCGCTTCTCCGGCCTTGGCTAAAATATCTGCCTTTTCGGCTTCATTGAAAAGGGCATTTAGGAGAACATGAACGTCCGGCCAAGTCGGCTTGTGGGTCGAGAAAATGGCGCTGACCTGACGGTGGCACTTATCCGGGTCATCTCTTAAAGATGGCATTTGATTTGACCAGGTTACCAGGTCTGCCGTATAGAATGGTTGGTGAGTGTATACCATCCGAGGAGGTCCGTCCGGTTGCAGGGGTGGGATTGGTAGGGCCCTTAAGGGCATCTGGACGGCCGCGGACTCCGTTTGTTTGGACGTCCCCGGGGTCTCTTTAAGTTTTTCTAGAAGGCTGGGGTCTCTTAAGGTGGCATCTAGAGTGGCATCTAGTATTTCTCTAGCCCGCTGTCTCAGAGCTACGGGGTTAGAGCTTTCTGAGGTAGCGTTCTGAATCTCCTTAGCTCGCTGCCTGGTTATTCGTGGGCTTGTGCCCCCCCCTCGTGCCCCTGGCTCCTGGGTGTCTTCATCGCTATCTGAGTGACCACCTGGGGCGGGCGGAGTAGTTTGCCTATAGTAAAAGGGGATGAGTGCTTGTTCTACGGGGTCTTCTCCAGGGTATCCCTCGTATGGGGGGGGCAAGGACGACCTTCCATGATTTAAGATAGGCAGCTGATAGGTCGTTGCTCCTTTGGTGCCTTGGAGCAGCCCTTTGACCGTCTCGAAGGTGGCCAGATATTCCAATTGACGGGGTTTTTCTTCTAATAAGTATTTTCTAAGATGTTGTAGACGGTCTTCATTGAAGGAGCCCCCTTTTGGCCAGCGCAACTCTGGTTTCGCGGAGGCAGTTCCGGTGGGCCAAGTATCTCTACAGAGATCTTCTAACTTCTGCCTTGACAGCAATTTATGCCCGGGAATAGATTTCCAATAGGAGATGACGAATTCGAGAGGGGAGTCGGGGTCCCTCTGGGACTCGGATGGCTTCTTTGAAGCCTTCCTCCCGGAGCGAGCCCGTTCATGCTTAGAGGCCTGGGTACCCATTTGTTTCACGCGTGTCTAGACAGAAAGGGGAAGAGAGGGGTCGGTAAGGATTGGTATGGTGTACCTAGAGGGATATTATGCCTAATGCAAGGGGATATAGTAAGGAGGGGGGGTTTTCTAGCTGCTTGGCAACTTCTTTAGCGAGGGTTTTGAGAGCTCTATCTACCTGATTCCTTTTGTTCCCTTTTTTTCTTTCCTTATTCCTGATTCCTATAACCTGGGGTTTCTTTTCCACTCTGCCAGTCCCACCCAATTCCTCATGGGCTATCCCTCCTGGCAACCTCCTACCTATCACACTCTCAGGAAAGGGGCCCTACTGGACGCCCGCGTAATGCGATGCCAGATCGGGTGATCCCTGGACAGGTTTCGAACGGAAAATCCCCCTTGCTTTCGGAAGCGGGCTCACGCACGATACACGTGTTATGTGGCCCGACCGGTGCGGCTGGGATTGATCGATAGGAAAGCAAGACCCCTTCCTGCCCCCTCCGTAAGGGCGCTCGGGAAGTTCGGAAAAGGAACTCCAACCCCTTGCTTTCGACTGAGATGCCCGTTGCAGAGAGTCGGCTGTCTTTCCAAGCCGGGTCTCTCCGTCTTACTTTCGGACTCTCAATCGGTGCGGCTGGCTGGAGAGTTTGAGAAGAAAGAGATAGAGCTCAGAACCCCCCTTTTCGGGTTGAGCGACAGTCCACGGTCTCTCTCAGCACTTGGACCAAGGTACAGGCGAGAAGGAGCGATAGAGAGGAGGGCAGAGAATTCGGTTGCCAGGAGACTTCCACCCCCTTCCCACCAGTGCACTGGGTTTTCCTTTCTTATACTCACACGTCTTCTATGATGATCCCGGGATCGATGAGTAAGCCGGCTGGATCCCTCTTTGCTCCCCGACTGAACTCTGGGGCTTCCGATTACCGCCCGGAAGATGGCCGGAGGTCCAAAGGATCTTCCCGGGCAAATGGCCCGGTGCCGGCTGAAGATTTCGGGGCCCCCGGTCAGCAACACGGGAGAACCGCAAAAAGCCCCACGTGGGGCGCCAAATGTGACGGCAAATCTGAGTGCGTGAGTGCACAGCCACCCAGCTCGTCGGACAAAGTCCGCGGGTCCTAGCGGAGGAGAAAGGAGCTCAGCCGGACACAGGAGCAAAATACGAAGATCCGAGTTTATTGCGCAACAGGTTCAAAAATGGCATTGAACCCCGAGAATGGGGCGACATAGACTTTTAAAAGTTCCCTCCAAGTCCCAGAATACAGTGCACGAAACGTCATGAATACATTATGGGAAGGTTGGGTTTCACGGATTACATCATGAATATATTACACACGTCATGAATATCTCAGAGAAAGGTGGGGTTACACTAATTAACATTTGAGATAGGGGAGGGGGAAATATGTAGAGCGAGAGATACACACAGATAAACATTTATCAAGTACCGGTGGTGGCAGGACAAAGGGCCAGAGATATGCATCGTCTGCCACCTGGTATTGCCCGGAGGAAGGGTTATGCGAAGCGATCTGACAGGATTAAGAAGTTCCTGTGTACGTGCCCTGTCGCTCCGGGGATTATGGAAGTAGGGATCACATCATGGAGTCCAAAGGGAGCTGAGTTGAATGACACCAAGAGCAAAGAAATCGGAGTTATGGTTGATTTTATGTCAATTTCCAAAGGTTTCCTATGCTGTCTGACCTATTCCGTATTGGTGATCAAAAGCGGAAACAAAATGGACACATTGTAGCAAGAATGGATACATTTTGACAGTTTTACGAGGTCTCTGGTTTCGGATCCATTGTTCTCACAGTGGGGGGCTGTCAACAGCTTGTCAGTAGGTTCAATGAGGCGTGCAAGGGCTCCCTGAGCTAGCTCCTGCAGGACAAATGCATGGCTGTGATTGGCTAAGACGCAGCCATAGGAATAAGCGGAGATACAGGAACGCCCGGTCTACTCGTTCTAAGTATGGAGCGCAAATAGCCATAGGAAGAGATAGGAGAATATGTTCATATATTTGAGCTTATTTCGCTCGGGGAAGAAAGAAGGAAAAGGGGGTTTCGGGAGACGTGTGGTGCTTGTGCAACGGTGAGGGAACTGAGGGTGGGTGTACTGCGGGTACCCTCGAGGTCATCGCCTCGGTTGTTCAAAGGAGAAGGGGAAAGGAGGTACCCCCCCCTTTCCCGGTCCGTATCATACTTCTCTGCACACCCCTCTCATGTCCCTTCTTTGTTTTTCCTTCGCTCCCCACTTAAAATGTGGTTACAAAGCATGGATCCACAGGGATTCTCAGGATCTTTGCATTGGGTCACCCCAAATTCACCATCAGATCACATAGCATGTCCAAGGCTACAGCCTGCACCAAAGAAATCACGCACCCACTGTTGCCTGGGGCTGCAATGGTGCAAAAACGTGGTTACAAAGCATGGATCCACAGGAATTCTCAGGATTTTTGCATTGGGTCACCCCAAATTCACCATCAGATCACATGTCTGTGGCCACAGCATGAAGCACAAAAATGATACATCCACTGTTTCATTCAGAATGTTTTTTCCCTTGTTTTCCTCCTCTAAAAACGATGTGCGTGTTATGGTCAGGTGCGTGTTATAGAGCGAAAAATATGGTATCTGCAAAAATTTTGTAATCCACATTAAGCAGTGATATGGGACGATAGTTCTTAAGCTGCGTCTTTTCAGTCTCTGTTTTCGGTACAAGTGTGATATATGCTTCTTTCCACGACTCTGGTGCCCTTTTCCCCTCCATTATTTAGTTGCAGACCTCTTTCAAAGGTTGTACTAGCCATTCTTTTAAAGATCTGTAATATCTAGAAGTCAGTCCATCCGGTCCTGGAGATTTACCCAATTGCATATTCTGAATGGCACCTTCTACCTCCTGTTCAGTTATTTTATAGTTCAACATTAATTTGTT